TACACACACCACGGTTGTTGAGTATTAATTTCCTCACCACCTACCTCAATAATTCACCCTCTATATGAGCTCAAGAATGTATACAAACCTGTCATCAAAAAATTCACTCCATTCACTGAATACCTCTGCCCACAGATTGCCTCTATAAGAACACATTCACTGTATTCCCTCCACCACCACCTTCAAATTTGGCTTAACCAAATTGTAATCCCAAACTCTACATATTTGTGAATCCACATAATCAGCAAGGCAAACCATCATAGGTAGGAAATCCAACATATCAACAGGAACAGGAACAAGAAGGCAGCATCCCAAAACAGAACAAGGCAGCAGAGCAACAAAACAACAAGGAACAAGGTAGGTTGCAGGCACGGGTCAACCGGTTGGTCAATCGGCCCTTTGTTAATTTTTTCTTTTTTTTTTTGCCTTTCAGTGTGCATGCTTTATTTGTTCAACTTTATGCTTTATTTGTTCAACTTTAACCTTCTCAAGAGCATAAAATTCATGTTTTAATCAAACTACATCCATGTTCAATATTTTAAAAATTAACTTCTGTGAAACAGAACACATTTACTTTACTGGCATATGATGATTTTTAGTTTCAGTATGCACTTCTGAATAACAATCACTGCATAGCATGAAGTAAAAATTAATGTGCCATTAAGCATACACCAATTAGTATGCACTTCAGTATAAAAATGACATGAAGTAAAAACACTTTCATATGCATTCTAATATTAAAACAGTATAATATAAAAATTAATGTGCCATTCTAAGCATACACCAATTACTGCATAACATGAAGTAAAAACACTGCATAAAAATGCTTTTCATTTTAGTATGCACTTTATTAGTATGCATTTTTCATTAGTATGCAAAACCGATTAGTATGCATACTAAATGCTTTCATGTTTTTCCATTGTAATATGTATTGTAATATTAAAACTACATTCATTTCAATTCTAAGTTCATTTTAAGTTCATGTTTGAATTCTATATTTATATTCAGCATGACACTAGAAAAACACCACGCCAATTGTAATTCAGCTTTCATATGTAACACATATTCATTAAAATTGAACAGATATTGACATCATGCCTAGAACTAAAAGAGCGAGACCACAAGTTGGTGAAAGTTCCAACCCTCCACGGCGCCAAGAACAGCAGCCTCAAAATCAGTCATATCCTACTGATGATTTTCTCAGTGAAAGTCATGAACTAGCCTTTTCAAACTTCTCCAGCCGACCTATTGTAATAGGGAGGAGGGTAAATTTGCCACCTCAATATGATGCACTATTAGTTAGTAAACTTGAAGCAATGGGATGGCTAAATTTAATTAATTTACCCCAAAAGGTATATCCACGACTGATATCTCTTTTTTATGTTCACCTAAGAGGTACTCAGGAAGAAAATGGAAATTTTACTTTTTTGTCATATGTGAAAGGAAAGGGTATACAGTTTGATGTTACTACTTTGGCAAGCATTATTGGAGTTGAGGTAGGTGATGAAAATATCCATTTTCAGAGTGAGGCTGAGTTAGTTGATATTGTTGGTAATGCTACTGATGTATATACTACTATATGTGAGAACAGATTTATTGGAACTAGTCTATCAGCAAGACATTTAAAACCTCATCTTCGGATTCTCCACCGGTGGATTGTAGAAAATGTCACTCCGAAAAAAGGGCATCATGATGCGGTCCCATATTTTAATGCCTATTTGTTATACTGTTTTGAAGTTGGCCATAAGTTAGATTTGTGTTACATAATTATGAAAGAAATGATGTTCGCAAATCAAGGTCAATTCATGGGCCGGTCATTACTGTTTGGGGCACTCTTGACAAAAAATTTCAAACATTTTAGGGTTCGCCTTGTAAATGAAATGGAGATGAAAATCTGTTCACCCATTAATCAGTATACAGTGACCCGTGCTGGTGCAGCTGCCAATTTAATGGGAAGTGTTAATCCTGCAGAAGATTCAGAAGATGAAGTCCCACTAGATGATGCTCCAGAAGCTCCTCCTGCTAATGTGATGCCATCAACTGAACAACCTCAATATTGGATTGAGTTTTTGGCTATGGAAGAACAACGTTATAATCAACGCGTTCAATGGGAACATCAACGCGTTCAATGGGAACATCAAATGGCTAACCAAGTCAATTCGTTGGGTACTCAGTTTGATACATTTGCCACTGCGCAGAACTCATTAATTGAACAATTTGGTGAGTTCCGTTTGGACATTGAAAGACGTCATGACGTGGCAAACAATCGCATAGATAGGATTGAACATCGCGTAAATGACATATACCATCACTACTTCCCTCCTCCATCACCACCAGATAATAACTGTTGATCTATGTGACATTATGTATTTGCTATGTTTTGTATTTTGTTATTTTAACAACCTTTTGTTGGGTCAATTTCTTTTATAAATGTAGTGGTTTTGTCATATTATCTGATATAAAATTCTCTGTTAGTTTTTCACTTACATTGCCTTGGTAATACATGTGCACCATCTTTTCGAGCTTCACTGATGCCATGTTAGTTGAATTTTATTAATGTTTCTGATTACTTCAATTTGTATGAAAATTTCTAGAAGGTGTAATGGTAACCAAAGAAAAGAAGAAATGATGTATTTATATGTAAGTATTTATCTGTAACATTGTATATACATGTACAACATTTTCTTATTTGAGAAAGCAGACAGAGGAGATTCATTGAGATCAAGATAAGAAGCAGATTGAATGAAGGGTGAAATTCTAAAACCTACTTTTATATTTTTCTTTCTTTTAAAGTGACATTACAACACTGTTTATGAAACAGAATCGGGAAAGGCATATATAAAAGTTAAAACTGAAGTTGATGAGAACACTAGCATCAAGAAGATATGCATCACCTAATTCAAGTGAGAATGTAAAAATCAGTGTTGCCCTAGTATCAAGAAGATATGCATCACAGTAGCATAAAGAACACTAGCATTACTTAACCCAAGAACAAAACCCATTGAGATAGTTGTAGGGAATTGTAGAAGGAAAAAAAAAATAGGAGGCCCTTATCTGACATATGCATTGTAAGAATTTCAGTCATGATTAATAGTTATCAATTAGGCCTTTTTGTTTTTATCAATCAATATGGTATCCAAAGTAGCAGCAGAGAATAGAACTCGACCATCTCAAGAAACAAAAACCTAGAACAAATTAATAATAATGTCTTAATTTTAGAGAAATGGAAAAGGCAAGTGAGACATTTCACATAATTTTACACAATTTTTCCGTTTCCTTTTGCAATAGATGAAACCAATAGATGAAACCCAGTAATACAGAACCTTTCAAGGCAATCTATTAGTTGTTCGAAATAAAATCTGTCGTTGAAGATCTTCGCAGTACGCCCTTTGCATAGGATTTAAAATTGTCATGTTCATTGACATTATTTTATGATCTTCATTTCGTTGTTCTCTTTCATTCATCATAAATAGGAGTTTTAGTTGTTCCTCCCTATCTTTGGCCCTTCTTCGACGCTCTGCAGCTTTCTGCTCACGGTCGATCGCCTTTTGTTCATCTTGCTCAATAGTTCTAGCGGAGATAGTTGATAACACTTCAACAATTTTGGATTGGTTGGCAGCCATTTCATCAAATCTACTATCATGCGTTGTTTGATTCTTCAACTTCTCTTCGGCTGCCTCAGTACCAATTGGTCGTGTTGATGTATTAGATGGTTGTTCGTGCACCGCATTATTCTGGTTGGATTGAAATGCATCAGATTCTCCGGTTAGTGGATTCGAACATGGATAAGCATGTTGCGTGCTTCTTTGGGATTGTGTTCGAAATTCGTCCCACTTACAACTTCGGCGCAACATATCCCAACATGTATCAAATGTGAAGTGTTTTTTCTGTATTGCATGATACATCCACTTCGCTTCAGCGACCTACAAAAAAAATTACAAAAATTTTAATAACAAGTATACATTTAGAAAAGAAATTTGATATTTAATAACACAAATAAATTTTACCATGTCTGCCTCAGTTGTTCCACTTTGTTGCTTCAATTGAATTTGTTCAAGAAAATCACAAAATTTATTAATTGCCTTTTGCATGCCAGACTAACGGTGAGACAAAGAAATACGGTTTCGATTTGATTCACCGCTCAATTGTGAATTAAAATATAGCCATAGTTTGACTATTACCAGTAATGGGATCTTGAGAGACTGCTAACCAAGATTTACATAAAGTTTCATCTTCTATAATTGTAAACGATTTACCACGAGAAACATGAGAAGTTTCTGAAATAAAATGATTATCACTGTTCTGCGTATTCTGCTCTCGTGAAGTTTCCAACATAAAATTAATATCATTGTTGTGCTCCAACATTTGTGATTCCTCAAACATTTCAAAATCTTCCATAGTTTGGAAAAAATACAGTACATACAATATCTAAGTTACTGAAAAATATTAGAATGATATACACTCAACCTCAGAATCAGATAATTTAATCAGATAATATAAATTAAAGTTTCAAGAGAAAAAAATTTCTAAATGACACGGAAGAAACAAAATTCACAACATACAATGTAATGCTATTCTGAAAATAAAATGCTCTGTCAGCTTGATATACAAAACAGATATATTTTATAGAACACATCATCAACGGTAAATTCTCAAAATACTCTGTCCATCCAACGGTAAATTATTGAAACGGCTAGTTCTAAAATATGTATATATGAGATAACAATTTCAATTATATTTTCAAGGGAATTTAAATTTATATCACCCTTCAAATTATTCTAATTCCACAAAATAACCTATCTCAAACCAAACCTAAGCTGTTCAAACCAGTTCAAACCAAGCGGTCCAAACCATTGATTAGACCGGTCGACCGGTTGGTCAATCGGCCGAGCAACCAGCTGGTTGACCGGTTCAACTCCAACGGTCATGCCACAGGCCAGTTCAAACCAACCAGTTCAAACAGTTCAAACCCGTCGCAGTTCAAACACGTCGCAGAATTGATGGGCCGGGCAACCGGCTGGTTGACCGGTTCAGCTCTTCCAACGGTCAGGAACAGTAATTTGGTAAAATTTGCAGCTTATTCTCAGTTTGATGATTTTTTTGTTGGATTCTCATTTTGATATCAATTTGGTGAAATGGTTGGAGCACCAAAAAGTGTTTTTTTCACCAAAATTTAAATTTGATGCCAAGTTTGGTTCACCGTTAGAAATGGTCTTACAGAATGTTAATTTGATGGTACCTCAAATTCTTCCAAACCTCATTTTCTTTGCCTGCTTTTTCAATAAAAAATAACTGGGAAACTTGGGGGATGGATTGGAAAATTTTCTCATTAGAAATTGGATTTGAAGCTAGTGGGTCAACTAAATATTTTGTAGTAATCATTTCCTGTTGGAACATGTGTTTTCTGTAGGTTTCAGTGGCGCTGTTTGGGATTCCGAAAATTAGGCTATTATAGCCTCATTTGATTTTTTAGCCCAAAAGCAACACTGTGCATGGATTTTCAAAAAAAAAGAAAAAAAAGAAAAGAAAATAGGCTGCTGCCAGACAGTGTAGGCAGCCGGACAGTGTTGCAGCAAGGGCGAAATTACCATTTTGCCCCTTTATATCAATTTTAAAAAATAAAAAGTTAGGGATAAATCTGTCATTTTAAATTTAAACATCATTTCAACACACTTTTCAATACAATAACTCAACTAAAAAATCATCTCATCTTCCCAAACACAAAAACTAAAATAGCCACTAAAATAGCCAAAAAGCCAAATAGCCTACTAAAATAGCCACTTCCCAAACGAGGCCAGTATTGTTTGCAGAATGGTATAGGATATGTGAACTTGCCGGTGCAGATGATGCAGCTTGTGCCCATTATGTTTTACAATTGCAACAAAGTGGATTGCTGAAAGGGGATGATTTGTTAGATCGGTTTTTCCGCTGTCTCACTGTAAATTTTCTTCTTTGAAGTTATGTCCAGTGTTATAGTCTGAGTTCTAAATTCCTCTTCCCTCCCTATTCTCTCTTTTTTTTTTTTTTAACTCAGGAACTTTCTGTGTCACATTGCCTATCTTCTGAGGTGATTAGTTCTGGTCCTCTGAAATCACCTCAACGAGTCCAGTCCCTCGCTTTCCTTGCTATTGATATCTATTCAAAACTTGTCTTGTCGATCATAAAGGTAGATATCTATTTCCCTCTGGATATATAATATGGTTTTCTTTTTCACATTTATTATTCATGGCTTGGCTTTTCATGTTGTAAATTGCTAGTTTTTCCCTGTGGACCAGGGATCAAGCAAACTCTCTCTTTTGCCCAAGGTTCGAGTCCCAACTGAATAGTTATATCAGTTATTTTGTTGCTTATCTAGGAGCAGTGCTTTTTCAAGAGTGTTTGGTATTTTACAGGTTCTGGCAGTGACTGTGAGGTTCATTCAGAAAGATGCAGAGGAGAGGAAAGCATCTTTTAATCCAAGGCCATATTTCAGGTTGTTCATTAATTGGCTAATGGACCTGGGTTCCATGGAAGTCTTTGAGGGTGCAAACTTTCAGGTATGTTGTTTCTGTATTAGCTTTGTTCATTGTTTGTCTCCATTAAGTAACTAATCTTGGTTGTGTATTTTCAGGTTTTGACAGCTTTTGCAAAGGCATTTCATGCTCTACAGCCCCTTAAAATTCTTGGATTTAGGTTTGTTTATAACTTGGTTCATTTTATCTACAATAAAGATTCATTTTGTGGTTTTCAAATTCCAGATTGGGATCTTGATTGAGTGCTTATCAATCTCGTAAGCAGTAGGCAGCTATGTTTTAGTTGCTGCTTTTGTTGGAGATATTGTTTGGCCTTTTTGGTTAATTTGCTAAATAGTTTCCTAAGTAACTGTTATGTGCCTGTTGAACACATAACTTGCCTCGTTCACATTGAAGTTCACTGGGTTAAGCATTTTGTTGTGCGTGTTTAGAAGATATATATTTGCCATAACTAATGCATTATTGTGTTGACTTGGTACTGAATTTTAGAGTAATTGCTGATGTCAAAGGTGCTATATTATTACACCGTAGTCATAATGTCTTGTTTTGCAAATATAATTTAAAAAGCTGTAGGAATTTTTGGGAACTCTTGTACCCAATATGATGCTTGCTCTTTTTAGATCTATTTGACCAGATATTTTGATCCCTTTAGAGCATCTCCATTGGTGTAGTATTTTTTGTGCTATTTTAGTGCAGCAAGTACACTTAATATAGATTTGCTAAAAGCTGCTCCACTAACATGTAGTGTTTAGGCTTGTTTTGGGAAGAACTAAAAAAGTCAAAATGTTACTAAAAAGGTCAAAAAGCCAAAGAACTATACAAAAAAGTCAGATTATCTTTTCTCTCTACTTTTTGCACATTTTTCGTAAAAAATCAAAAAATTATCCCAAACATACTAATTTTTTTCACCTCATATTTTAGCCAAAAAGTTATTAAAATAGCCTATTCTCAAACCAACCCTTGTGCTAGCGCAAGGGCTCCAATGTAGTATTTTCAATGTTAAAAGTTGTTTTTTTTTCCCACTACCTATTATCAACTACCATCGCTTACTGTTAATTTAAGTCGATGTTCCAAAATAAATGAAAGGTGTATTAAATAAAATAAGCAAAATACATAATCATGAAATCATGAAGGGAGCCCTTTACAATCAGAGTTTTTTGAGCGTGCTATTTCATAAAAGCTTGTTATCAATAACGTAAAAATGAGATTTATGCTGAATCTACACCAACTTCAATTGAATCTTGATTGGAGTCCAGAATTTTGGTGAGGGTTTTAATTGTTATTAAATTAAGGAGGATATGTGAGGATTTCAGTAGTTAGGGTTTCAATTTCTCTGTTGTTGGATTAATAATGACATAATAAATTAGTGATAAATTAGACTCTAATTATAATGGTATAGATGTAATTTTTATTAAAATAAACTGGTCAAAGGTGTAGTATAAAATATCATTGTGGCACAGGAAATAGCACTCTGCTTTTTTAGCACAACGTACTACACTGCGGGAGTGAGTGTTTATGTTGTGCTGTGCTCTATTTTAGCACTGCTACACCTAAATACTGCACCACTGGAATTGCTTTTACATTCTATATTTTAAGTTAATTCCACTAGTTAAAAATATTAGATTTGGTTGTAACAACCATTGTTTTTGTTGAAGTGAAATAGATCTAGATTTGGGAGAATTTTGTTTGTGAATATGCTTTGATTAAGTTCCTTACTTGTTACACACAGCTAACTTGATTAAAATGATTTCAGCTTTGCATGGCTTGAGCTGGTGAGTCACAGGAGTTTCATGCCAAAATTGCTTGCTGGAAATGCTCAGAAGGGATGGCCATATATGCAGCGCTTGCTGGTTGACTTATTTCAATTCCTGGAGTCATTCTTGAGGAATGCTGAACTTGCAGAGCCGGTTTGCCTCTTTTCCTTAATTGGTTCTTTTTTTTTCCCTTTGCCTCCTAATATTACCCGTGGCTAATTGCACCTCGTGTCCTGTTTTAAAACTCCTACAGGTTCATTTTCTGTACAAAGGCACACTAAGGGTGTTGCTAGTGCTACTTCATGATTACCCTGAGTTCCTCTGCCATTATCATTTCAGCTTGTGCAATGTCATTCCTCTGAGCTGCATACAGATGCGGAACATAATCCTCAGTGCATTCCCCCGTAATATGAGGCTACCAGACCCATCTACTCCAAATTTAAAGTTTTCTCATAGAGCATAATTGACTACCTGTAAATTCTTTAATGATTTTAATTAATCGCCAAATTAACTGTTCTTTTCTATTTGTGTAGATTGATCTGCTAGCAGAGATTAGTCAATCTCCGCATATTCTCTCCGAGGTTGATGTGGCTCTTAAAGCAAAGCAGATTAAGGGTGATGTAGATGAGTATCTGCAGGTATCTGGATTTTGTCTGTTTACATTTGGCCCCCAAGCAACCCACATATGATTAAGAACAATGAAGATGGATTTTTTGTGTTCCTCTCTTTTCTTATAATATGGAGTTAATTTTTTTGTTCCCTTTATTCATCTCATGCTGTTGGTCTTTTCCTTTCTAAATTTATCTGCAGACGAGACAGCAGGGGTCTTCATTTTTAACTGAATTGAAGCAGAAACTGCTGCTTCCACCTAACGATGCTGCTCTGGCTGGGACACGGTATAATGTACCATTGATCAACTCCCTTGTGCTTTATGTTGGAATGCAGGTGTGTTCTTGAATATCTTTACTTTTTCATTATGCAATAGTGGTAATTGCAGTGAGAGGATATACAACTAGAAAGATAATAAATCCTTCCAATAGAAAGTACATCAAAATAAACAGAACTAACATGCACTGTCCAGAACAAAAGGAGGCTATCCAAATACCACCCTTATAATCCATAGAGGCTGTGAGACTTTTGTTTTCTTTTATGGTAAATTCTATTGACATAAAATTCATACAAAGAATTTCACAAGAATGATGTGATAATGCTATTATTGTAAATAAATCCATCTTCAATGGTGTTTTATTTTGAGGTGAAAGATTCACAACGAGTCACATCATTATGTATGAATTGTTTGTTTGTATAGCATCACTCTTCTTTTATTTTTGAAAAACTCCCATCTTAAATAATTAATTACACCATATACGTAATGTGTGCATATTGTCATTTGTTTCAACAAATAATAAATTCAGTTTTGGGTAAATTAACAATAGATCATACTTTTGAGACTTATTACGCATTAAGTTTGATAAATTTATCAGTCTCTCTTGTTTTTATGAATAAATTTACAGTGATAAATTTATCCGTCAGGACCTGTAGATAAATAAGTTTAGTTAATAGGACTGATTGATAACTACCCCATGATTTTTTTTAAAAAATGTCTGTTCTAAACTATCTTTAATTTGGAAAACCTTTTAATGGAACTCTCCAGTCTCAACTCATTGTGAGCAATTACAGATCAAGCTTGCTATGTTTATCTTGATGTAGAATATGTAGAACAGAGGAAGAAACACTCGAATGATGGCTACAACCTATTCTCATTTAATATTATCTCCAAAACTGAATAATTCAAACTAAAGCCTAATATTTTTCATGGATTAGAAATCACTTCCAGTAAGCTAAATTATAGGTCAGATGAGAGATTTCATGTTCAGGAAAACAAGGTTCAATAATCTTATTTTCTGTAAATCCCTTCTCAAATAATTAGGACTCTTTTATCATCAATAAGTGAATGGGACAAAATTAAATGCCAAATTTTGAAATGTCTAATGATATTTTTTCAACAGTCTCGTATTTTTCTTGAAACCTCTTTAGTTTCATATTATTTTGAAGCCCCTTTACTTACAATATTTTATTTATGAATTGCTAATTTGCATGTTTTTAAGTTTTGATTTAATCACTTGTCCGCATGTGGGGTTCTCTCTTTCTAGGTGACTTGTGGGTTCTTTTCCTGTATTTTACGTCCCCTTTCTTGACACTCATATTTTGGCACCATTCCATAGGCTATACAGCAGCTGCAGGCGAGAACTCCTCCTCATGGACAGTCAATGGCCAGTTGCGTTCCATTAGCTGTGTTCTTAGTTGGTGCTGCCTTGGATATCTTCCAGACTTTAATAATGGATCTTGATACTGAGGGGCACTACCTCTTTTTGAATGCGGTTACTAACCAACTACGTTATCCAAACAATCATACGCATTATTTTTCCCTCATCCTTCTTTACCTATTTGCCGACTCAAACCAGGTTAGCAAGACTTCTCTATTACTAATCATACACAAACACATGCATGGTGATTTTTTTTTTTTCTAAAAAAAGTAGAGGATATGTACACAGTGATGCATGTACTGTAAAATATAGTGACGGGCACAGATATGGACACAAACATTGACACAAGACACGGCGATTTAAAAAAAAAGGATACAACACGACAAAAAAATATTTTTATTTGCTGAATATAAATTTAGGGTACAGAAATATAGAAGGCACCAATGTGTATGTGGGTGTATTTTTATCTTTATTTTTTCACTTTCTTCTGTCTTTATTTTCATATATTTTACTTTCACCTCAAATTAACTCTCTAATTATAAAAAATAATCACAGGACATGCATGTCCGTTAAGTGTTCCAAAGTGTCCTATAAAAAATAAATAATTAGAAAGTTGGCATGCCGTGTAGCCTGTCTGACATGTGGACAAGTGTTCCTGTTTGTGTCCCATACGTGGTCAACACCGACACGGAACCTGAAGTGTCAGTGCTTCCTAGTGTAAAATTCAAGATTATCTTGTTGGGACACCTCAAAGACTTTAGCATTGTTGTTTCCACGTCATCCATCCATCAAATGAGGATATTATTGTACTGACCAGTCTTTTACGGAAATTCACTTTTATGCTGAGCAGGAAATCATTCAGGAGCAAATCACAAGAGTTCTATTGGAGCGCCTGATTGTTAACCGACCTCATCCATGGGGACTTTTGATTGCTTTCATCGAGCTGATTAAGGTAATTCTGTGTTCCGTCACACTGATAGTGCACTATCTGTTGTCTGTAAATTGTATTTTACAAAGTTGGTTTGTGTTTTTATTGTCAAAAAGCAGAATCCTAGATACAACTTCTGGAGCCAGTCGTTTACAAGGTGTGCACCAGAGATTGAGAAACTATTTGAATCGGTCTCAAGATCGTGTGGTGGCCTAAAACCTGTGGATGAAAGCATGGTCTCAGGTGGGATATCCAACGACATGCACTAAAGTCTGCCGCTTGCAAATTTGTCCAGTTGTACGTTTACTTTTGTTTTCCCAAAACACTTTTGCAAATCTATTGTTGTGACTTAATTGAATGTATAGATAATATATCTTATATAAATGTAAATATATTTTGATTTTGTTTTTGCATTTTGCATGCCCCCCCTTTGTATTTTGGGTTCCTGAATTCATTTAATTAAGATGTTTTATAGTTCAATTGCTGGTGATAAAAAGATGGCTTGGTCTAACTTTCTATGATATACCCATTTGTTGGTTAATAATTTTATCATAATTTCGATTGTTGTTGAATCATAGATTTGATTAGAGATTTGGAAAAAATGAAAAAGGAAAATGTGAATGTATATGATTTTTATTTTTATTTTTCATTTCTCTTGCATTTTCTTGTATCTTTTTAAATTCCTCTCAAAATTCATTCTTATTCAAATTTATATTCTAAACACATTCTAAAAAGCCTTCACTTTGTCCTCTGCATTGGCCCCGTTTGGTAGAGCTGTAGGAAAGTGATTATAACTTATAGCTTAACAGCTTATAGCTTATAACTGTGAATATAAGCTGATTTTTTACTTATAAATCAAGCTTCTCCTCCCCTACTCAAAAAATAAGTTGATTTTTGACTTACAAAAAGGTATAAACTGTATTGTTAAGTTGAACTAGACACATCAAAATAGTTTAAATTAAGTTAAAAGCTAAAATAAGTTGAAAATAAGCCCTATCAAACAGGGTCATTACATAGTGAGCATGGCATGATTGAAAATTATTCATTGCTTAGGTAACTGGAATGAGTTGGTAAAAAAAATGATTATTCTATTAAAATTTGCATTTCTGTGTTTGTTAGATTAAAAAATTAATAACAAACACATTACAAATGGAATTATTTTTCATTATTTTAACTGGTCATTTCATAGAAATTTTTTGAAAGTTATTATTTTATTTCATTTCATCTTATTTCAACAAATCAAATAAAGTATTAGGACCTCGTCTCCCATCTAGTTAAGTCAATCTAGTTAAGCCAACCAAAATGACAGGTTACTGTGATTTGTTACTCTTAGTCGTCTAGAAACATTATTTCATGGGTTAGTGCTGACACAAGATGAATGAAAATGAGGTTTAAAAAATGTTAAATGGTTTTTTGTTTTTTTGACAGGAATAGATAGTAAATTAAAAAAAAATAATAATAATAATTATGTTTGAGTCTTTTTTTTTTTTTTAATAATTTTTTTTTAGCCAAATTTAGATAATTAATGAGTTTCAAATGTGTTCAAGTTTGTTCATTTTCAAAGTATACAAATCAAATTCGAATAACTTGATTTGTCAGCTTCGTAGTAACACAAGGGGGTGTTTGGGAAGATGGGTTTGAGGCTAAAATAGTCTCAAACTAAAAAAAAATCAAAGAGCCCCTAAACCAACTTTTTTTATTAAAAAAAAATAAAAAAATAAAAAAATAGCTGCAGCCGTGGGACAGTGTAGGCACATTGACAAGTTATTCCATCACTTGGTAAATTATGATTTTGCCCCTTTACATCAATTTTGAAAAAATGTGATTTTGCCCCTTTACATCAATTTTGAAAAAATGTGATTTTAGAGACAAATTTGTCATTTTAACTTCAAACATCATTTCAACACATTTTTCAATACAACAACTCAAATAAAAATTCATCCCATCTTTCCAGACACAAACTAAAATAGCCTACTAAAATAGTCAAAAAAACCTCTAAAATAGCCACTTCCCAAACAAGCACAAGATTATTGAAAATGAAGTTTAAAAGATGTTAATGTTTTTGACAGGTACAGATAGTATTAAAAAAATGTTAGTTACTTTTATTTTTCTCTCTTTTTTGAGCCAAATTTAGATAGTTAATGAATTTCAAATGTATTCAAACTTATTTATTTACATAGTACACAAATCAATCTCAAATAACTTGATTTGTTAACATAGTAGTCAGTTTAGTTTCATGAATAAATTCATTTAATTTAAGAATTAATTAACTCAAAATTTGGTTGGAAAACTTGTTTGTATGCAACAATCTGAAGCTATTGGGAAAAATTAAGGGTTAATGGGTGGAAAACTTAATTCTTAAATTCTGAGTTAAATTTGGCTGGAATTTAAGAATAAATTCAACCAGAGTTGGAAAACTTGCTCATACCTGAAGGGGCTATTGGGCAGAATCAAAGGTCAATTAGAGCCTGACCCATATCCATAAGAGAACTTATTGCTGTCTTGTATATATTAGAGATGGGCACAAGATAAAATGAATTTTCATCCCTGGAGATGCAATATCCTCACAATTGAAGTCATTAATGATTAATTCCATTTTTGGCAGCAGCTCAAATTCTCCTTGTTTGGATGAATCGGTCATTCCAACTGTTCAGTCTCCGGATGCTAGTCCTATTTTGGACAAGCATGATTTTCTTTTTAGTGAGAAAGCCATTATTTGGGATATGTTTGGCTCCTCCAAAATGATTACACTTTTTTGTGAAACGATCTAAACAAATAGTGGCACCAACGCCGTGTAATGAGAAGCCATGAGGCTATGTAAATTTTATTTTTTATTTTTGTTACAGGAAAATCCTCCTCCTCTCCTGCAAGTTTAAGGTAGCGCCCTTTACAGAAATCACCAAGGTGCCATGTTGTTCGTTCTGAGTCAGAAACTATAAATTGAGAACTCGTTCCGACCTCTCAAGATAAGTTCTGGTTAAGTTAGAACTCGCGCAGTTAGGAATATTGAATCCACACTAAATGTTGCGGTAATAACAATTTAAGGCTAACCTTTTAACCAACTACGCTATGCTCAAAAAATTGACGCAAAAAGTTTCGAACTTGAGACCTTGAGTCTTAACCCCTAAGCCTCTACCAAGTGCGCTACAAGACGTAGATTAAGGCTATGGATGTATCTCACTTTCAAAGTTGTTCTTGGGGAAAAAAGAAAAAATGAGTGTCAGTAAAGATAGTTCTAATATTGATATCTTTGGAACCCCTCAACGTATCTGTCTCCATTAGCCATCCTATCGACGGTCACAATTTACTCATGATTCCTTTCTTATATCGAACTTGAGACCTTGAGTCTTGACCCCTAAGTCTCTACCAAGTGCGCTACAAGACGTGGATTAAGGCTATGGATGTATCTCACCCTCAAAGTTGTTCTTGGGGGAAAAAAAAGAAAAAGGAGTGTCAGTAAAGACAGTTCTAATATTGATATCTTTGGAATCCCTCAGCGTCTCTGACTCCATTAGTCATCCTAGTGACGGTCACAATTTACTTCTGATTCGTTTCTTATGTTTTTCAAGTCTTCCCGCTTGGACGTGTGGTGTTGGAGCTTTGAGTAAAGGATGCTTAAGAAGATTGCTAAAAGGTTGTTAATTTGGAAGCTACAAATAAAATTTCAAGTACTTCGTAATGATGGTGAATTTAGATGGTTGTAATTTAACTTTCATGTTTTCCTTTATGCGTGCAAATGTTTTTGACCGGCTATGTAATTTGAATATGAGAACTCTTATGTATGCGTTTTATTCTCTTTAAATGTAATTTTTACTAGCGGCACGTAAAAATAATGATAAAAAAATAGGAAAATTTACCCATAAGTTCTAGTTTCTGAAAAGTTGAACCATTTAGTCCTAAAAATTTTCTTATGCTCCATTTAGTCCCATTTGCACATCAATTTAATGTTTGAAACATTAATTTGATGTTCGAAACATTAATTTGATGTTCGAAATCTAATGTTCGAAACATTAATATGATGTTTGAAACATTGTAATGGGACCTTTCAGTCTATAAGAAAACTTTTAAGACTAAACAGTGTATAAGTTATTAATTTGAGATTTATTGGTGCATCCCCCAACAAAATATACATGTAATATTTGTTACTCAAGTGGTAAGGACTTGTTTTATCAAATTCATAATTTTGGTTTTAAATCATGTTCTCTTTATTTTTTACATAAATATCACCTCTAAGATTATTTTGAAAAAATCCAAAATATGAGACACAAATATATCAACACCATCACGAGCTTTCACTTTATGAGATTGTTTGAAATGATCTAAATAAGTATATTTTTTGACTTTTTAAGAAAAGATGTGTAGAAAAATATAAAAGTGATGTGACTAAAAAAAATAAAAAAATAAAGGCGAATTATAATAATAGTCCTTGTAATTTGAGACATGTGTCACTTTAATAATAGTCCTTGTAATTTGAGACATGTGTCACTTTGATCCTTGATCTTTCAATTGTAATATATTTAGCCCTAAATCTTGAATCTTATTCCAAATAAGAATAATTGAAAACATTGTTGCTTCACAGAAAAATTGTCAATTTGATAAAATATAAGTTAATTTAAACCCCCCAAAAAAAAATATCAAATTTTTTTTAAATTTTTAAAAATTATATCTACCCACTAAAAATAACGTTATATAGAAATGATAAATTTTTTTTATTTTTATAGCAAATTAATTTTTAGTGTGCGTTTGAATGATGATTATGTAATAAAGGGCTGTTTTTGTTGATATTTTTGAATGGTTATCATAGGCTAAATGGTTTTATTTGTTGTTAATAAATATTTTTAAATAGTTACCATATAATTGATGGTTACTATTTTTAAATATTTTTGAATGGTAATTGATGGTTCTAATATATAATCGATATGTTTGATATGTAAAATATTTTTAATTTTGAATTTTTTGACTTAATAAATTGATTTAATAATGACATCAATGTTGTCGCCATGTTTGATTTTAAAAAAAATAAAAACTAATTTAACGAAAATAAATATAAAAAAAATTATTCAAAAAAATTATTTCTACCCTCTCAAAAGATAATATTATATAAAAATGATGTATTTTTAATTTTGTTTCACCAATTTAAATAAATTCTAAAACCAAACCAAACAGAGCTTTATAACAAAAAAAATTTCAACATTATTCATTAAAAAAAAAAAAAAACCATTATAATTCAAACAACATATAAATTAACCAACACAAAATAACTTGTATGACGACTTTACCCTTAAAATAGAACAACAATGTCTTTAATTGTCCTTATTTAGAATAAGATTTAAAATTCAGGATCAAATGTATCACAATTGAAAAGTTAGACACTAAAGTGATATAAGTCTCAAATTATAAAAACTTTTAGTGTAATCCGCCCAAGACCAAAAAAAAAAAAGTGTATTAATATAGGACATGCCATACAACCCTATATATCAGAATAGATTTTGCCCAAAAAAAAAAATGTCTAACACCACACCCAAAAAGACATACAATATCTGTGTGGAAACAGAGCAACAAAAATGGAGGCACCCTAATACCCATCTTAGTATCGTTGCCTCAAAAAACTTTCTTTATAAAACATTGGCACAAATATGTACATTTATTTAATTGAAATAGTGAAAGCTATATGAAGGGGAACAACAGTGAGATATGCCCATGGGCTTGAGCATTGGTGAAATATGAGTTGTCAAGATCTAACTGGTCGATGCTCTGTTTTCAGGGTTGGCTGGGAGAGAAGAAAAGAGCAGGAAAATCAACTGACTTGATCAAGCATTGCACTTCGTGGCATTAGCGCCACCCAAATTATAAATAATAATAAACATAATATATAGATAGAAAATATTGATTTTTTTCACTGTTGGATTCAATTATATAGCAGTGTAATATATTCTGCTACTTAGTACATATAACTCAAAACAAAATTCTTATTATGTATGTTCCGTGTATGTATTTTTTGAGAGTATCTTTTGTATTTTCAAATAAATTTTGCACTGTATTTGGACTGCTTGAGCCAAGCCCAAATTATTTTTGAGATAAGCTCATGCTCAGGCTCAGTCAAGAAAATTCAGGCTAGAGGTCAGGCTTAGACTGGGCTTGAATAGATCCCTCTAGAATTCAATTTGAGCTTGAATTGGACAAACTCAGCCAGACCGAACTCGTCTACGTATCCACAACAATTTTAAGTGTCCAAAACTTGGATTTTAATAATCAAGAGATGATCATAATCACCCTCATATAGGGCATTTGCAGATTCCATGATGGAAAAATTGTGCTTCCCCAATGGTATATCCAAAAAACTAAAGAACAGTAATGACTCTTGAAAATCATATATCATGAGAACCCAAACCGAAACAGCCAATGAAAATCCAAAATTTAGTACATTTACCAATCAATCTGGTAACAGAACCTATCTCAAGCCTCCCTATGCACAAAGTAGAGCTTACCCATGACATGAAGAACGGCAACAAATGCTATGAAACCAATGCCCATAACAAGAACAACATTGGGAGAAATCTTGAGTCCTGGGGCATCATCTGTGTAAAACTGGAGCATGGTGCCGCTTGCTCCTCCTGCAGCCCCACCACCACTTGTCGTCCTCCTCCTACGCAGATTGGCAGCAGCTGCTGCTGCACTTCCTCTAGGGGGTTCTCCTCCATTTAGAGCCATCTCTGCAACAAACTATTTTCAAGTTCAGAACCAAACACCCACTCTGTTCATTCCTTATTTGGCCACACAAAGCTTCATCCATCCACCCATCCCACCCGCCCCGAAAAGATGCATGCATATGCACAATAGGATCATTCAAACAAAAACATAAAGAAAGAATTATGGTAGTCCTAAGTTGTATACAATTACATTTGACAATACAAGTAGTATATCAACAACATTTTTTTTTTGATAAATTAGTATATCAACAACATTAGAATCCTCTATTTTATTCAACTGGCAAATTCACACCAATTTTTTTTTAGACTAAAGGCTTATATGCATATGGAGAAGTATTAAATAATCCTGCATATATATAGCAGCTGAAGCTCACTGCTATTCGCAGCTGATAAAAGTAGGGAGGACAGGTGTCTCATAGGTTGTCATGGGCATACCAAAGCATGTAGGCTTGGTAACATTTAATATATACAAATGAAATATGACCAACGTTCAATCATCAATGCATTATCCTTACAGAAGCACAGAAAACATAAACTGGCAATTCAATAACTTGCATCCTCAATCAACCATAATTTCAGATAACATAGGCCTCATTTGGGAAGTGGCTATTTTAGAAGCTTTTTGGCTATTTTAGTTTTTGTGTTTGGGAAGATGAGATGGATTTTTATTTGAGTTGTTGTATTGAAAAATGTGTTGAAATGATGTTTGAAGTTAAAATGGCAAATTTGTCCCTAAGATTATAATTTTTTAAATTGATATAAAGGGGTGAAATTGTAATTTTCCAATTGATTTTACAATCTGTCCCTACACTGTCCCGAGCTGCAGTCTATTTTTATTTTTACTTTTTTTTTTTTTGAATTTTGCACCTCCGCCTACTGTTCACGCTTTTTGGCTTATATCCTAAATGAGGCTATAATAGCCTTAACCTGTGTTTCCCAAACAGCACCATAGTTATCATGTGATAACACTGCACCTCATGACAATTTTAAGTGACAGTAACTGAAAGAGAATGTCAAAGGTCTCTTTTAAGAATATGCGTACAAGGTGGTCCAAAACTATCAACGTGTAGGCTTTTTTAAAAAAACAAAACGCATTTTTGGATAAGAAAGTTTATTAAAAAAGCACCACCACAAAGGGACACACATAAGATGTATACAGTAAAACAAGAGCCATCAGTAGCTTACGTGACCCCATTGGCGCTTCATATGATATGAAAACGAAGATGTAGGCAACAAAATATGACATAAATATTCCTAATCTTTAAGTTTCTCCTAGTAAAAGTTTTAGGACTTCCAAAGCACATTGAATGAACATTGTCAATTGTTTTGGTGCAAGACAAATGTTGTATCATCTTCCACATAGCTGATGTACTTGAGCATAGCATAAAAATAGGATACATTATTTCCAATTTGAGTATGAGCAAACAAAGAATAGCCGTTGTTTAGTCCATTTACAGTTTTGTCAGGATTCTCAGAAAGGAGTGTTTGAAACCATTCCTAACAATTTTATCATTCATCCACAAAATACCAAAATTTCAAAGTCCTTAGCTATTTAAAGAAACTGTTATGATGTTCTACAGGAAACTTACTAGCCATTAATACCATACGTTAATTTCAAAATTGTTATTTTACATTCTCCAATGAAGTAGCAAAATTAATCAATTGATTCAATTATAGGAACAGAAAGCTTTCTCTACTAAGAAGTTATTGGCTGCTATATTTCACCAACTAGAATCACTATGGGGGTGTTTGTTACAACTTAAAAAATGTGATTATAGTTTATTTTAATTTAGAAATATATGCCAGATTGTTTGGTACAATTTCTGGTTATAACTTATTAGGCATAAATAAGCTAAAAACAGTTGATAATCTAAAGGTTGGGAGAGATGTGCTTTTAGTTTCTGCTTTCTGATTATCAGTTTTTACCTTCCAATAATCTACACCAAAAAGGGCCTATTTAACATTACATCAGTGGTCATCAATTGACAAAAAATTAATTCTTTATTCTCTGCAGACATGCTTGCTTCAAAGAAATTAAAACCCATATCTCATAATAATAAATAGATAAATTACACCAGTAATCCCTATACTTTCTCTGAACCAAATTGATACAAACCTAAAATTAATAATCAAAATTGAGCCAATTTAAAGTCTAGGGATGAAAATGCCACAAGGGCAAAATGTAACGACTACAGTTGTATTTGCCCTTAGAAGATTGAGCAAGTCCCACCAACTCAGAAGGAAATAAGATATTGATCCCTTACATAAATTTCACACGTCCATAGATATTTGAAAGCAAACTCTTCTTTCAGTAAAAGCACAAAGAAAATAAACGAAAGCTAAACAAAGGACCTCTTTGAATGCACTTTCAAGAAGTTTTAAAATATATATATATATATATATATCACAAGTCACACTAGGCGTCATTTGGAAAGATACTACTTTAGTAATTATTTTTATTTTTTAAAGAAAATGTGTGCAGAGAAAACTAGACATAGTGATGTGACAGTGACTATTTGGTTTTTTTTGGCTAAAATGTTTAGTCCCAAATGATGCCTAAGATGTCCTCAATACAACAAACAGAAGATTCAATCGACATCGACAATAAAAACAAGTTCACATAAAATACAACTCATATTCGCACCCAAAAAAAAGAAAAAGAAAAAAGACCAAGAGCAATCCGACTTGACAATTACCTAGAATTTTTTTTATTTTTTTTTGGCAAATTACTCAAACACAAAATTGATCAGGAAGCATACCCAATTCCCCAAATTTTCACAGATACAGAATCTAGGGGGAAAAAAAACCATAGCATCTCGTGGAAGTTAGGGGTTGTTTGGGATGTTCTAAATAAGTGCCCTTTTTGTTTTTTTGGACTAAAAAATTGAGGTTGAAAATATGGATGTTTGAGTTAACTTTTTGACTTTTTATGAAAAAATATGTAATAAAAAATTGTAAAAATTGATTAGTAGGGAAAAATTCGAATTGGGAGTTGTACAGCCGTAATTGTTGACTTTTGGTGAATAGTGTTAACTTTTTAACTTTTTTTAACTTTTTGAGTAACTTTTTGTCTTTTTATCTTTTTTGAAAGATCCCAAACTTGCCCTTACACAACTAAAACCCTAGCACAGATCTCAAGATTCTCTGATTGGAAGCCACAAGAACAGCTAAACGTTGACATCAAAAAATCGCAAATCTTGCATCACAGGTTATAAATCACAAGATATATATGTTTGTGTCGTGTACGAGTGGTATAGAAATTATATATATATATATAGAGAGAGAGAGAGAGAGAGAGAGAGAGAAGTGAACTCGCCTTAGAATCAGGAGGACAATGGCCGATCAGCGCTCGGATCGCCCGACTTTGAAGATCGCAGAGAGAGAGAGGGAGGGGGTTTTGAGTCTGGGAGAGGGAGTCCGGGGGAGAAGATCGGAATACGTATATTTATACGTAGATACGTGGGCTCACGTTACCATTCCACCTGGATCCTCTGCCCAATTATCTCTTGCCACATCGGATCTCCCACGTTAAAATTCACTTCATTTTCTTCTAAATAAATAATTTTAATTGGGTTTTTTTATAAACCCACATTCAACTGGATTGAATCAAAGGGAAAAAGGAGATGGATTTGAATTGCGACTATTTTTGTATCCAACCTATGTTGTTACATACTTGTTCTTTGAAGGTGGGTTTGATTTGATTTAGATTGGTGGGATGGTGAAATTACAGAGAGATTTAGTGTTGAAATTACAAAGTTATGATGAAGATGAAGATGAAGATGAAGATGTAGGTGATAATTTTTTTTATTTTTAGAGAGATTGAGGTTTTTTTTTTGGATTTATAGTTCTATTGCTGCCATTATTTTTGGTTTTTCTGTCAATCAATGTGAATGTTCACATTTCATATTGTTTGGAAGTTCAAGAAATAAGTGTTGGAATTGTGAAGAATAATGTCTTCGATACAGTAATGTGGCTTTCTTTGTAAAGAGATGAGAGGTGTTAATAATAGTGATAATGATGAAGATGGAGACTAAAATTATGAAGATATAGAGGAGGATTTGTGTGATGGTTTTTTTATTTTTTGAGAGATTGAGATTTTTGAATTTATGATTATGTTATTGTCACTGATTTTTATTTTTTGTTATTGGATTTCAATGTAGCAATGATTTTTTGAGATTAGTAATGTGTCTGATATAAAAATGATGTAAATGTTCATATTATTAATCAATGTTAATATTCACATTAATTTGAATTGAAAATTTGTCATTGTGTTGTCAATTGATGTTAATATTATTCACACACTAATATAATATTGAATGGTAAATACAATGTGAATATTTACATCTGTAATCAACTATTATAAACATAGAACATAATGTGATTGAAAATGGGCCTCAACATAATTACGATGTAAACATTGACACAACATAAGAGATCAGATATGAATATTCACACTTCATATTGTTTAGAACATTGTTTGGTGAACTGTCATTATGTGTAGTCAATATTCTTTTTTTGATATATTTGTGGATGAATCATACACCTTACATATATAAAATGTGAATATTAGCATTTGATATGTTTGTTCATGGGTCGTACCCCTAATTAATTTATAATGTAAATATTAACATCTGTAGTTAACCACAATATAATATGAAAATTCACAATGCAATAGATAGATGTGAAGATTCACATTAATTCTAATACATTTGTGCATATATCATACACCTAATTAATGTATAATGTGAATATTAACATCTGTAGTCAGCCATAGTAAACATAGGACATAATTTGAACATTTACATTTATTAAACATAAGTTACGATGTGAACATTCACACAAATTTCAACATAAGAAAACAAATGTGAGTGTTCACAGTTTATATTGTTTAGCACAAGCAACACATCAACACCAAATATACCATCAAAATACATAGGTCTGTGAGAAGTATATCACTGATTTATATATATGTTGTCAAGTGTTTTCAATTACAAGTTTTCAAAATTACCAACAAAAAAAAAAAAAAAACTAGCACTGTATTTTGGTATAGCTAGTCTATGGTGGACAACCCCAACCATCGAACAATGGAGTTTGCCTCAAATAGTCCAGCTGAGGATCCCAGAACTTGGTGCTTGTCATCAGTTTTACTAAGCTTGTAATGTTTCATTGATAATTGACATGTCACATGTCGATGTGAGTGCTGCTCTCTAGAGGCATGCTCTTTTCTTTGACATGATACTTCTCCTTCTTCCTCTTTATGCATAATTTAAATGCAACATCTGTTACATAGGCATGCACAAATAGTGAGTGTTTATATGAACATTAAATTTGTTTTCAATAGAATTGGTAGGGTAGGCATGCACATTGACATCAGTACATCATTAGTCAGTGTGGATGTTCACATTCAACGATATTTATATAAGCAAAAGCAACAAAGTACTATTTAGATGACAAACATAATAACGTGAACATTCACATCATTAGAGATGTGAATATTCACATTACTGCTAGGGTACAAATAGGAGTGAGACAACACCAATATATGCTGATTTCTCATATTAACACGAACAAAATTTCACAACATAAAGGAAACATTTACATATTATCTTAGCATCAATATTCCCATAACCACATTGACCAAACTCATGTGACCATTATTTTAGCAATAAATATAATGTGAATGTTCAGACTAATATTTACATGAGTCATATTGTGAATAATGTCATAACTTCAGAAAACTCTGATTGAGTCACAATTACAGCAAAACAAGACCATTATGTTAAAATCAAGTTGGCTTGCATAGTGTCAATATGCACAAAAACACTTCGAGCAATGTGAATATTCACACAAACATTTGAGACTACGAAATTGAGAATAAAGCAGATAATCAACAAACAACACAACAAACACTATAATGTAAATTTATAAAATGGCTAGTCTCAGAATGTGAATGTTCACATTGATTATAACTCAATAACAAGAGAAACAATAAGATGTTATTATTTGCAACGTGCCTACAAGAATTCACATTGAACTAAAACAGGGTTGGCAACCATCCAAAATTAAGGTTGTAATTATTTGAACACCATGAATAACCAACAACGTCAACAAGTCCGACATTGACATAAGGGGGGAGATACAACAAACACCATTTATGTAAATTTATAAAATGGCTACCCTCAAAATGTTAATGTTCACATTGGTTGTTACTCAATAATAAGAGAAACAATAAGATGTTATTATTTATAATATGCCTACAAGAATTCACATTAAACTAAAATAGGGTTGGCAACCATCAAAAATTGGGCATCAACACCAACAAAAACAACAATCATAGAAAAATTGGAAAAACAATAACAATAATATAAACAACACATGTGAAAGTTCACATTGAACCAAATAATCATTCGATGATTATACAAATAAAAGAGGAAAAAATATGGTGGCTTACTCTGTTTTTTGGAAAGAAAGAAATGGTCAAAATGGGTGATTCATATCAACACCAACAAAACAACAATCACAGAAAATTTGAAAAAACAACACCAATAATATGAACAACACATGCAAAAGTTCACATTGAACCAAATAATCATTCGATGATTATACAAACAAAAGAGGAAAAGATATGGACGTTTACTCTGTTTTCTGGAAAAGAAAAATGGTCAAAAATGAGTGATTCACATCAATACCAACAAAAACAACAATCACAGAAAAATTGGAAAAACAATAATAATAATAATATAAACAACACATGTGAAAGTTCATATTGAACCAAATAATCATTCAATGATTATACAAACAAAAGAGGAAAAAATATTGGCGCTACATTTGGTCCGCATCTAATTGGTAGATGCAAACTTTTACAGAGTTGATTTTTCACTTCTGAGTAGGGTTTCAATCGCCGACAACGACGTAACAATGGTGGGATGCAGAGATCATGAGAATCACGATGGAGGATTCAAACGATGAGATGATGAGAACTGGTATGGAAATAAGGGTTTTCCGAAAGCCTTGCCGTATATTTTGTGATTTGCTCCTATGTTTTTGGGCTGTGACGTTTTGAATGGAAATAAATGCTCAAAAATGTCTAGGGGTGTTTTGGACAAATTGCTAGGTATGGGACTTATTGGAATAGTCAAAAACGTTTTCGGCTAGATGGAACAAAACACTTAGAAAGGGGATTTATCAAAAAAACTCCCATTTTAATTCTTCGTTTGTTTGTTTGTTTTTGTTTTTTTTGATTTTTATAATAAGTTATATTTATGTCCAGAGAAAATATAATAGTTTATAGTGGGTGTTTGGGAAGTAGGTTTCTATGTAGGTTTTTTTAGTTGTAAGATATTATTTGATAAAATTTTTTGGTGCTTGGGAAGATAGTTGAGTTTTTTTGTGGTTGGATGTGATGTTTCTGAGAGAAAAAATGAAATGATTATGGGGTTGGATGTGATATTTTGTTTGGATATGTTTTTTTTAGTTTTGTAAAAAGTTTGTCTTTTAGTGGAAAAAATCAAAAAAAAAATCTCAAACCCAAGTTCCCAAACACCACCATATGGTGTTGCTAGTAACATCCAATTTTTTTTTTTGGACACCTCATGTTTTTATTTTTATTTTTATTACAATTCTAAATCCATACAAAATTTTAATTTTATTTTTATCACCCCTAATCTCCTAAGAGTTCGGATCCTCAGCCACACAAGCCTGCAGCCATCCCTGCGGCACCCCCAAAACGACGTTGTTTTGGGGGGGGAATTTCAATTTAAAAAAAAAAAAAAGCACAGAATAGAAACCAGAGGAAGGAGAGAGAGAGAGAGGACAGACCAAAATCAAACCCAGAAACAGAGGGAAAGAAGAGAAAGAGGACGGAGGGAGGCCAAAATCAAACCCACTCTAACTCTTTACACAAACCCAAATTAAGTGCAAAATCTTTCAAGGATTCGACCACGAGACCTTCTAAATGGACGGTAGCCTCTTCTCTCTCCTCCACCCGGTCCAGTTCCGCCGCGAGTGCTTCACCCAGTAACGAGACATGAAAGCCATGGACCCAATTGAGCTCCTCGGAATCTTACCCACTTGCCACTTCGGCAAGTTTTGCTCTAAGAAATTCCTCTCCATCGTCCACCCCAAGATAGAGGAATCTCTGTTCAGAGACTCTGTTCGCCTAGTTCGGTCGGATCTGGGGCCACCACGACTGCTCCTTCGACCTCGCCACCTTCCGAGGCCACTGCGCCACCGGCGACTGCGGCGGCGCCCTCTTCTGCATCGGCCTCGGCGGCTCCCCTCCCGTCACCCTAGCCGAAATCACCCTTGGCGCCGAACAAGACTTCTATGACGTCAGCCTAGTCGACAATGGTGTGCTCGGATTTGCCTTCCTTCTTCTCCCCTCTTTTTCTTCCCTTTTCCTTCCTTCTTCTCTCTGGTTTCTGTTCTCCTTTTTTTTTTCTTTTTTTTTTAAATTGAAATTTCCCCCAAAACGAAGTCGTTTTGGGGGTGCTGCAGGGATGGCGGCAGGC